CCCCCCCCGACGCGCCGCTCGGTCCCTACGGAAGCCCGGAAGGGCCGCGGGGTGGGGGGAGGTCACGTGAGGGAGGGCGCCGGCGCCATCTTGGCCGCGCTTCCTCGGGCCCCGCCCCAGAGCCCGTCGGGGCGGGGGCACAAAAAGAGGCCCCCACCAAATCCAGATCTGGACGCATTGGGTGGCACCAGTCGGTCTCCCGTGGTGCGGGGGGTGTTGCGTTGCAGAGGATGCGTTGCCTCCCCACCCCGTGGTTCGAGGCGGCTGGGGTGTGTGGCGACTCCTTCCATGGGACAGCGTAAAACGGGGGCAGGAATGAGGGGCAGAGGTTAATCGCACACATTTCAAGGGGGGCGCTGAGGAGCCAGGAGTCGCTGCCCCGTGGGTGAGGGGCAGCCACCCGCGTTCTCCCCCCTGGTGGGGAAGAGAGCAGTAGCGTAGCCGGGGCCAGGAGGAGGTCGATCAGGAGGCCCTGAGACTCGGTGGAGCTGCTGACGGGGAGTGTGTAGACAAAGGTGAAAAAAGAGAGGGTCCCATCTAATAAGGGGCTGCCACAGTTTTAGCACCAGCATCTTGAGGGGGTGAAGAGGAGTGCACTCAAGATAGGTGTGTGCCGGGGACTCCCTTTGCTGACAGAAGGGGCTGGTGTTTGGGGGTGTCCATTAAATGCACCAGATACATGTCCATGGCAATGGTTTTGTGGAGAGCTCCAGCTAAGGTCCCAGGTGGTTTGCAGGATCAAGGTGGAGTATAAGTTAGTCCCCTTGCTCCGTGTCCCGCCACTTGGCGTCTGGTCAGTTTGTGATCTTGCCATTTGCAGGAACCCTGGAGTTGGGTGGGATTGACTCGTACTCTCCTGCGTAGCTAATAGAAAAGGACATAACCAGTCTAGAATAAGGTGATGAGATGCCCGAGGAAGGGTACAGGTTTCCCTTGCTGTATGTTGTATATGCATTCCTGGAAAGTGGTGCATAACTTGAATTTGCAAAGAGGGAACCCACTTTACAATGTAATAAATAGGGATATGTTCCAAGACCTTAACTGTACTGATCCCCAGACCCATTTCTACCACTTTTACAAGCCAATTTTGGTACTCAGCAACAGCAGACAGTACACACAAGCACAGGGCACTGTCATAATGGGGATGGTAACTACAGAAACGCATGTCGCAGATCACTCACAAGGAGCACGGATCCACGCAGGAGACTGTATTTTGGTGTGCCTCACTCCCACAACGCACATCACAAAGCACCTGACTGTTTCCACTACAGGGATCGCACAAGAGTGAATTTACCTTGCGTACAGTGAATTTTTGGTATAAAAAGGGTCGCATAAGAGCAAATTTGGACATACAGAACCTGCAGAAAGGGAGGGAAACCTGTACTGTGATACGCAAAAGCTTGCTTTTGTCTCTACTAGTGATTCTCACCATAAACGGACGTGTGCCCCTGGAGGCTGGCGGGGCATGGCAACCGCCCGCAGGCAGCAGTGGGGGCATGGGGGCGGCAAGCGAGGAGTTCCTGCAGGCAGCCGCAGTGGTGTCAGCAGCAGGGCGGGGGCGGTTGGAGTGCCGACCGGTGGTCAGCCACCACCCGCAGATGCCACTGACACCGGCAACCAGTAGCGATTGGTGACTGCCCGCAGATGCTGCTGGTGGTGTCAGCAGTGAGGGGAGGTGGGGTGGTGAGCGGCGACTGCCCGCAGGTGCTGCTGGCAGCATTGGTGGTACTTCTTTCAGGGGATGCATCGCCAATCTCGAGGTGCACCTGCACCTGTGTGCACCCCGTATGTGTTGCCAGTGTTCTCAACCTTAAGCTTAAGATGGCCCTTGTTAGACTTGAGGCATCCCTCAGAAAATGCTAGTTGTTCTTAGTTTTCATTTGTTTTTTGGCTATGAAAAAATAATAGAGCAATTTTTCTGTTGAAAGCACTGAGAAAGCCCACAACAAGTCAGAATGTTTTAAAACTCTGTATTCCTATTGGAAATCCTTGGGTTTATTTTATGAATTATGTTTGCGCACCTAACAATGATAACATTTTGTGTGGCATCCTGGAAGGATCTCGAGGCATTCCAGTGTGTCATAGTGCCCTGGTTGAGAATCACTGATTTATACCAACCATGTAGTTGGTCCAATGAAAGATGTCACCCACAAGAATGTTTGCCTCTCGCATTATAGACTAGTTATTTTGATATCATTCTTATCAAAATAATAATCCTACAATAAAGCATTCTCATAAGAGCTATCCCATATCAGATAGGCTGGCCAAATTTCCCAGAGACAAGACCTCCGTTCAAACAGCTTTAGGAATGTCACCAGCCTTATGATGCTACATACTGGAGCCTACTGAATGCAACTCCCACAGGTAGGTCAGTCCAATTAATAGTACTCTGAACTGGGATTCAGGAGTTGTGGCCCTGAAAGTGATCCAGCTTGGGCATCTGTAAAATGAGGACAGTGATTCTTGATTTTTTAAAGATATTTTGAGGTTTTCGGTTGAAAAATGATCTACAACAGGTAAACATTTTATTAGAAGGTTGCAAATAATGGGCAGTAATATTACTTCTGTGGACTCATTTACTCAACCAAGATATATCTGGAAGAAGAAAATGGGTCTTTCTTGCTGATATCCAGGTATTTCTCTGTTTTACACATGGAGAAGGAACAGAAGAGGAAATGAATAAAAATTCTGGTGTCTTGAATTTTTGTTTGGATTGGAAATGTATTTTTATACATTAGAACACAATAGAAGTATATTTTGATATTTTTATATAATCTGTTCTAAACATTGCTTTATTAAACAAGTCTGTTTATATGTGGACAGTTGTTTGCTCCCCAATTTAAGTGTGCAATATTTAAAGATTTTAAGTTTTAACTACAACATTTTTTTCATGTAACCAAATAGTTTACAAAATATATTATAATAGTCTGGTAAAAAAGAGCCTCCTGCAATATTTTTAAGAGTTATAGTAATAATAAGATTTTTTTTCTTACATATATCCAAATATAGGCCCTGCGGCACAACTTTGCAACATGCTGGGCAACTCCCAGAATATGGCCAGACTATTTTTGTTCAGAGGTATGATTTTTTTAAACATTTAAATAGTTATGCAGGTTAGATTCTTAGTGTGGACTCTGTTATATTGGTCTGATGGTGCCTACAACAGATCTACTGATTTTTGTTTTTAATATGCAATTTTTTTATTGCAGTGGAAGTTTATATGATCAGCCCTAAATTAAGGTAGGCTGGGTGTGTGTTTAGTTATGTTACATCCATGCAAAGAACACGTAACTTGTAATTATGTATCTGCACAAGAGAGCAGCTCTAGTTTATTGAAACTGGTTTCTAAACAATTTTTATTAAATCTGTGCACAATCTTTAATGGTAGCAATAGTTGCATTTTTGGAATATTCCCATGTTTATTGGGAACATCTTTGCAAAATGGTTTTGGCTTGATTTTTATTAGTCTCACTGAGAGTCTTTGGTACTGTAAGTGATGTAGCTGTAGTGGAGTCTCTACCTAACATGAGATCCAGTCATTCACAGCCATCTAGCTGGGTTCTTTTAGTCTGTTTTGTTTTAAAATAAAAGGGCATGGTCTGATTGTGCGATGTGAAATCTAGATACTCCTTATCAATGAAGGGGGGGGAAGATTTTTATAAGAACCCGTGGAGTCATGAGAAACATTTTCATTTTTTTCTTTTAATTTTTAGCCCACTAAAATGGAGCTTTTGTCCATGTGTCTGGAGCATCTAGAGACAACAAAAATGATACTCGACTATAACCTCAGAGCAGCAGTACTGCTCACTGAGCATGTCTACAGGTTCATTAATGTGCTTTTGCTATTGCGCATTAAATTTATTACCTTTAATGCGAGGTACTAAATAAATGCGCAGAGACAAGGCACTGTAGTTTTTCCCTCAAAATAGTTAGTAGAAGTAAACCCTGGGGTGGAAGGTGCCAGGATGACCTCCACAGGCTGTGTCTGTGTTAAAAGATAACCCATGTCTTGGTACCGTTTGGCTTTTACATCAAGACAGATGGGAGGAAAGGCTTAGGTATGGTCTACACTTAAATGTTTGAAGTAAAAAAAACTATAATTATCCTGGCAGAAATCTTAACATTGATAAAGTTATCACAACAGCAACAAGAAAATTTCTTTGCCTAGATAGCTCAAACTAGCTCCTTCAAAAGAATAAGCTAGAAGCAGCAAAAGAAATTAAACATGCCCTAAATGAGCTAATTGGACTTTAACCATTTTTCCACTTTATCCTATCTTTCCAACTGAGCTCACATGACAAAACAATGCAATTCAGATTACTCAGCGGAAGCTGGTTATATATTCTATGTTTTATTATTGCATAAATTAATTTTCATTTGATGAGTAAGATAGCAAAAACTTTACTGGCTATTTCTTGGTTACTATTCTATGAGCCTGGGAGAGCTAGTGCCTAATTTATTTCCTGTTGAAACCACTGGTTTTTTAAAAAACCACAGCCTTTTAGTTCTGTGGTGGATCAGGCTTTTAAACAGAAGGAAGAAGACATCTTGAGCAATGTTTAATATCCTTATTTACCTTCCCAACCCATAAACTAAAAGGAGTGTTATATCAAACAAAAATCCCAACAAAATGGGTTTATTACAACCATATTAGCATTCATTAACTTTTTTAAGGCAGTTTGAATATGAAAGTGTTGTTCTGTCATCATGGTTATAAAATACGGTAGCACGCTGGGCAAAAACCATGCTGATATTCTACTGCGCAGTCAGCATTGCAAAAAACCCCATTTGCTGGTGCAATTTAGTTAGTACTTCATTAAGCAAGTACTAAACTAAATGCGCAGTAACTACTACTCATTAATGAATGTATAAATGTGCCCACTGTCCCTTATGCAGTTCCCAGTTTACTATATAAAGGATTTATCTATATCAAGAGATTGATTGGCAAAATTATAACAGAGTAATTATTCTGCCTTTGCTATACTCATGTAACTTACCTATTTGGACATGTTTTTCTGGAATAAAAGTAATTTTATACTACAATTATTCTAGAATAGCATGTTCATAAGGGGAAGTTCTATTGATACAGTTATTTTGAAATTCTACTTTATCTGTTCTGGGCAGTATACCCCTGTAAGTGGGTCTTTAAGTAACTTTGGCTGTGTAACAAGTCAAGTTGGAAGCTTATTTCTCAGTATGAGACTTAATGTTGAAGTACATAATACTGGTCTAAGCTATGCTTCTTACAGAAAACTGTACAACTTAAATCAGGTCTGCCTTGGGCTTTTTTAATGTCTGTATCTAGCTAATAATTTGTTTTGGAATGTGAAAATATTTTTCATTAGCATAAGGTATCAAAAAATCAGAAGGGAGGAGTAGAAATATATGCTATGTACATCTGATGGACTCCCTGGCCAGTGCAAGATTGTTCCCTACAGTGGGTGTGTCTACACATGCGGTGGACTATGTAGTTGTTACGGCACAGTCATTTAGTACTTACTTAACCAAGTACCAAATGATTGCTTAGCAACCAGTGTTACTGCGCAGTCCTGTCGCTGCATGGTTATTTTTAGACGCTACCATGCAGTAGCAACGGGTTTGTTCCTGGCAATGCTATGGCGCCATAGTGTCTTGTGTAGACATGCCCAATGTTCACTATTTTCTAGGGCTATCTCATTCCATGTTGAAACAGTGCAAGAAATTGTTTGTTCCTCTCCTGTGAAACTGTATTGTACATCTATCTGTGTGACCCTGTGCAGTTTTTGTTAGGTAGCAACATTTCCTTACTTCATTTAAAACCACATCAGTACAGTATTCCTAAATTCTTCTCACTGTAGTTAAAGAAAACACATGTGTATGTTTTCAGTAAGCTGCTGGAAAAACACAAGGTAACAATGCACAATTTATGAATAGTATTTAGATATTTACTGTATTAATCCCATCAAGTACGGCAATTGAAATACTGAAGGTTTTATTCACTAATTATAAAATACATCTGACAATTTATCATAAATGACATTTGAAGGTAAATGAATAAAAAAACCATGTTCTAAAACCTGCGTCCTCTGTTGCTTGTTCAAACATCAAATCTTTTTGCTTTATCAGCTGCTTTTGAAGGTGCTAATCTTTATTACAGCTCCTTCAAATGTTTTGTAATCTTGTTAAGATAAAATTTTATTCAGTAAATATCAGTAGTGAAATAACTGCAAACTGAACTAAGTTATGTAATTCTTCCTATATTTGATGAGATAAATGTGAGTGTGGGTATCCTAATGATGCTATATAGTTGTTGTTTATTGACCAACACCCTTTATGACAGTGCTACTTATTTAACAGACTACATTCTAAGAAACTTTACACTATAAGCAGATCGTCATTGTGTAAAGTATTAAGTCCTTAGCAAGTGAATCAAAATTACTTTAAAATTTATTCTACTGAAATTTTACTTAAATTTCTTACTACATCTTAAATATTATGGAAATTCTGTTATGGTGAGACATATAATCCAAGTCTTCTTGCAGCTTCCGAGATCCTGGGTGTTTTTTTCTGAGGAAAAGGGTAAAAGGTTAGCTTGTTGGAAGCTGGCATACATTTTGTGGATGAAATCCGTTGATCTGTCCAAATTGCTGAAGTGACTGACTTCAAAGGAGAATTCTGGCTGATGTCTGAAATGGAGCCACTATTCTCACCAGTGGGACTGCTTAACGCACTTGAATTTTCCAGTTCATCAGGTAATTTTGTGGCTTGTTCATTCATTGTTTGTGATTTTTCACATGGCAGTGTGATATTTTCCTTCAGAGTCAGTCTCTCGTTGTCAAAGCTACATGGTTTGTTCTTGCAGTGGGAAAGATCACAACCTCTCTGGCAACCAGCTTGCACTAGTCGATGGATTCCTAAGTGGGTACGCCATGCTGAATTGTCTTCTATGTTGCCATTGCAAGTCAACTCCAGGCTGACGTTTCTGACATGAAGGCATTCTTTAAATGCTTTTGTTTTCCTTACTTTCTTATTAATTAGAACTGCATTGACCATTGATTCGTCATGATCAGAATCATTCTCACCTGTGAAGAAAATACATATATACACATTATTACTGTGGCAAAAATTAAAGATCCAGTTTCTACAGCATAAATTCAAGCAGAGAGGTTTTTAAGGACCAGTGGGTCTGTGGTGGTTGTTCTGCCTATTAGGAGTGCAAGTTCTGTTTTTGTGTGGGTGAAGGGGGATGATGCTTCTTATTCACCTATACAGTGCTGAATGCATAGATGTTGCTCCCTAGGTCAGTCAAATAATAAAAATGATGAACAAAATACTGTGCTGAGCTAGAGTCTATATCAGCGGTGGGCAAAACGGCGGATCCAGCCAGTGGCTGGACTCCATTTCCCAGCAGCCCCTGCCTGTATGGCTGGGGGCAGTTTCCATGGAGACCCCAGCAGCAGCTGTGCTGTAATAGTGCAAGGCTGGAGTTTCCATGGAGACTGGCCCCAGCCGTGCTGGCAGGGTGCGTGGCAGGGCGGAGAGCTGTTCTGGAGCTGCTGGGATTTTGTAGTGGTGACAGTACGGTCTGGAGCCAGGGCAGAGATGCAGCCTGCAGCCTGCATGTTCCAGGCAGGGGCATGCAGGCTGGACCATGCTGGACCATGCTGTCACTGCTGCAAGGAGCCAGGGCAGAGCTGCGATCTGCTGCCTGCACACCCCGGCCTGAAGCATGCAGGCTGCATATTGTGGCTCTGCCCTGGCTCCGGGCCATGGTATCACTGCCGCAAGATCCTAGCGGCTCCGTAGCAGCTCCCTACCCTGCTGTGTGCAAGTGCTGCTGGGGCCAATCTCCATGGAAACGCCAGCCTTGCAGGACAGCTGCTGCTGGGGTGTCAATGGAAACCAGATCCAGCTGTGTGGGCAGGGGCTGTTGGGAAATGGAGTCCACTGCCAGCTGGATCTGGCCTGTGGGCCGCACTTTGCTTGCCCCTGGTCTATGTAAACAGAGTTTGCCAGCTGACTTTCACAGATGAGAAAAAATTATTGAGAAGTATGGGTTCTTTTCATATGCATAAAGTCACTGTTATCCCAGAAATGTAGATACTCTGTCTCTTCAGTGATTCTTGATGTACTTTATTCACAGATTAGAAATATAGTGTGTATGCCTCTCATTGCCTTTTACTGGATGGGATCAGATTTTGTTAGTGCAAAACAAGATTTATTTTAACCTAACACACAGTATAGTAATGGTGATACCTAATACATAGGGAAACTCTAAGCTGGACAGGGCAGATATAGGTGCAGTATATTATCTAATCAAGGCAGACAGATGCTCAGCTTGGAATTCCCCCACCATAGGCAATTTAAGGCAAAATGTTGGCCACTTAGGGTTGCTTAAGTAGTACCCACCTGTGCTTTCATTCTGTTCCCTCACCCACAGGGGGTGAGAGATGCAAATGCCTTCTACAGTCACCTCATTAGGAAATTTGCTTATTTTAAAACAGAAATGTACTAAGAAAATAACATCACATATAATTGTAGCCTCGAGTAATGAGACTGCTAGAGCCAGTTTCTACCCTGACTTAACTCTCAGTGCCTCCACTGAGCATAATTAGATTTTACAGAAGATCCAGGTCCGTGTAGAATTTGACAGTGTCTTAATTCATGGGAGACAACCTGATCTATAGGTCTGTATACAGGACAGGGGTCGAGTTTTTGTATTTGTGCCTTGTGAATATCAGTATTGCCATTTTCTTTTTATGAGATTTATAGCTAATCTCTGATTATTCTTAAATGTTTGTAATTTACCATTATTAAATATTTGTAAAGCACTATGTAAATATGATAAATTATTAATGTATAAGATGTAAGGTAAATATTACTACTAAGGTAAAAGCAGCTTTAGTATATGCAGTCATTGAATTATTGAAGACCTTTGTACTTTTAAAATGACCGGAAGCTGAGCCCTTACACTTAAAACATTTGATACTTACTAACATACAAGTAATAATGAAATATATATTTTAGTTAGTGTATATCCTGCTTAAAGTGGAAATTGTGAAGGATGTTGGTCTTCAATCACTACTTTGATTTACCTGCAGAGACACCTGTTGAAGTTTGGAGTCTGAGGAATATTAAAACAAATAATAGGGATAGAAAACTACTGACTATATTTAAAAATAAAATAAAGTTATTTAAGTGGATCACAGGGAGTTCAGCCTTTCAGCCTAGGATTTAAAATCGAACTGTTGTTGTTGGAAGCGAATGGGACTCTCCCTATAACATTTTAGTAATTGTTTTTTTCTCTGGTGCAGTGGTCTTTACAATAAAAACAGAAGTGTCGGATCCACTTGTTTGACTGGAACTATCAAACAGTAACAAAATCTGTTTCTTCCAAGACACTTATAAAAGTTCTCTCTAAGGATGAGAGAACGTGTAAAGTATTGTTGCTTTGAAAGTTGATGTACGGTGTTACTTTAACTCAGTTAGGCTCTACAAGAGGTTATGTGCATAGAATTCACAGATGACCTTTTCAGAGAAGTCTGAAGGCTGTACATATGCAATGGGCTACATCTGCAGTATATTACGTAACTCTCCCGCACTCCAAGGTAATTCTTTTATTTACATTGGTTAATCTTCTGACACTGCGTTGAACTCTGCTGTTAAAGTATTACTTACACTGGCCTCATTGCAAGCATGTTATATTACTTGTCCTTTTTAACTTGCACTTTTAAATAAAGGGCTATTACTGCAAGGTCTTTATATTTTTCAAGGTTTCCAAGGAGCATGTGTTGTTTGACTTTCACAATAGCCTTAGAAACTATGAAGAAGCTCTCTGCAGGCAAGGTCCTTTTAATTGCTGTACACAACTATATACTTTGAGTGTCCTTCCCAGTCTAGTTCCCAGAACAACAATCACTTTTCATTTCCAAGCCTATCATACACAATGAATTCACTGCCTTATTTTTCTCAAGTGGAGAGTTTCAAAGCCTGCTGCCTTCCTTGTCTTCTCAAATATCAGGATGAGACTTAAGTGTGACCACATCTGTTCTTAGTAGGGACAGAAGAAAACTATGTTCCCAAGTGCCTTCCCGAATTATTAAGCCTTCAGCCTAAAACCCAGAAGAACAGGTGCATCTTGTGTTTTAAAGGTTCCCAAATTGACGGCTCTTGCAAGCAGAGGTTGGAGGCAGATGACACCCCTCTCCCAGTTCAACCAGGGGGCATGAGAAAAAATACTCTCGTATCATGGAAGCAGCAGCAGTCTTTCATATAGGCAGAACCCAAATAGTTTGTTTATTGGTCAAAACAAAGACATTAGGCTGGGATTTTCAAAGGACTCTAAGGGCACAAGTCACATAGCTTCAGCTGAATTCCATTGGGAGTTGGGTACCTAACACCGTTTGGCTCCTTTGAAAATCTCGGGTGCCTTAAACTTCATGTGGAAACAGTTTGTTAGCCATGGAGATCACTGACCACCTATATAATTTGCAGTTAGGACAGAACACCTTATAAATCAGTTCTCTCCTTTTGTACCAGTTTCAGTTTCCTGATAGGTTGAAGATAAAACTCTATAACCATGGCTCTCAACCTTTTTACACTGGAGGCGTCCCTCCATAACTTTTGTGAGTTGAGTGGCACCACATTTAAAAAAAACCCTGCTTGAAGAGAGGCTAAAAAGGAAGAGGAATAGTGCACAGGAAAGAGCCTGTGCTGCAGTGAGTGAGAAGAGGAGGAGCAGCTGGAAGAGAAGAGCCTGGATCTCTTCAGTGAAGCCTGTGCTTATCTCCCCTCTCCCTGATGCGGGGAGAATCAGCACTCTATGAGAGGGACATTGCAGTATCCTACCCTAGAGGTGGTAAGGCAGACTACATGTAGCCAAGGCCACATCTGAAAAAGAACGTAGCCTTCTGGCCAAGCCCAGATAAAAGAAGCGATGCTTGGAAATTGCTGCTACCTGAGAACCCAGAAGCAATTGGATGTGCAGTAGCCTCCTCACCTTGCAAAACTTAAAAGCATGGAATCAAATCCTCAGTTCTGGTCAGGGCCGTGTAGCTACTTCAAATAAGAATATTAACCTCTCTGAGAGTCCCATACATTTGCCAAATGAGAAAGTTTGGTGGAACAAATCATTTATTGATCTCTGTGTTTGTACAGCATCTTATAGCCTGCTAACTGATAGAGGAAAGGTTTGTTGGCAATAATCCTTTATTGGACCCACTATATAGTTGGGAGAGATGTTAGGCTGTGGGGCACAAAGTGCCCTCCTCAACTCTAGGAGAGAAGAAGGTACAGTCTCAGCTAAATACCAGATAAAAATGGCTGAGATTAACACCATATGTAAATAAAAGCAGTCACTTAAAGCAGCATTTCTCAACTCATGGGTCATGACCCAAAAGTGCAAGAATATATGAAAGGGTTGCGAACAAACTTTAAAAATGGATTCTCCTTTAAAGGAGAAAACATGGGCAACCGTGGTTTTCCCCTTGCAATCTGGCAGAGCTCCAGCCTGCAAAGGGCTGCTTGGGGCCCCCCATGACCCTCACATACCCCTCCCTGCCCCACGCACTCGGAGGGTGGGGAACAGCAGGTTGGGGGTGAGGGGCAGTGGGTTGGGACTGGCCATTGATGTTTACAAATGGGTCCTGGGACAAAAAAGGTTGAGAACCACAGACTTGGAGGAGTGAAGGAGGGCTACAACCGCCTGACTGGGGCATTTGGGCAGTCCTGAGCATAGTGGTTAGGGGACTCGGCTGGGAGTCCTGGGTTCCAGACCCTGCTTTCTGGATTATTTTTGGTTTTTATTAATTGAATGACTTTCTAATATAAAAGGCATAAACAGTCCCAAGGAGAGGGACCATAATCCTATTCCCAAGTGTGTGGCCTAACACTGGACACTCAGGTGAAGATTAGACATTACCCTCCTGAACCTGAATTGCAGTAGAGTTTAGGTGGGGTAAGTGCTGATTTGCTCAGATTGGGGCACTTCTCTGTGTGTGGCAGCCTATGCTTACGGGGTGCAGGTTGTAGCCATGTTGGTCTAAGGACATAGGCAGACAAGGTTCCTTGGGTGAATCTGATATCTTTTATTAGACCAACCCAGATAGTTGGAGAATAGTTATTAAGCAAGCTTTCAGGTTCAAAAACCTTCCATCCAGGAAGAGCACACACCAACTGCTGAAACTTCCTTAGCCTGACGAAGGGTTTTTGAACCCGAAAGCTTGCTTAATAACTATTCTCCAACTGTTTGGGTTGGTCTAATAAAAGATATCAGATTCACCCAAGGAATCCTTGTCAGCCTGTGCTTAGGCACTTAAGGAAAAATGCATTCCCAAATGGAGACAGCCCAATGGATTTGGAGCTGCTGGAGTGGTGGTATTCTGCATCACTTTTTGCGACTTAGATTCTGTATTCATCCTAAAGCCCTTTAGGTGCCTAGTTTATCAGTCTGGATCTAGCTCTCACTCGGTGCCCTGCCCAAATTTAAACTCAGATAATTGCTTTCCTTTTATCCAAAGTCTCTTTGGAGTTTCATCTGGATGTAAAGCTCTTTTGTACTTCCTTTGCTTTGTATTGTTTCTGTAGCCCATGAAACAAGTGATGTGTTTCATGCCAGAGGTGGCTGTATTTTAGTATATGATGAAGGTATCCATCTGTATGCATACCATTTTCCTTTTCACATGGGTTTACAACTTAATTTAGAATTGTATTTCAGGGCCTTTGAGTGAAAGGAGATCTAGAACTGCATCTATTACCTGTCATATAATTAATTTTTTCAGCAGTTTTATAGTCAGCCAGGATCCAGAACGGTGGGAAAAATGCATAGAAAATGTAAAGAATGAAATAGGCTAAATTCTTTTCAGCCCCTCCCCACCAAAACATGCACAAAATTATTTTAGATTTAAGCCAGTGGTTCTCAGGCTGTGAGAACAGCTATGAGATCTTTTTGAGGGTGTCACGTAATATTAGTGCTATTAGGTGAGCAAACACGTACACATGATTCACAAGAGAAACCCAGATTTCAAACAGGAATCCATAGTATCAAAACCATTCTCTGTTGTGGGTTTTCTGAGTTCTTTACAGCAGAAGAATTGCTCTATTATGTTTTCATAGTCACAAAATTAATGAAAGTTAAAAGCTGACATTTTCTGAAGGGTGCCTGAGCCTATTCAGGGGTGCTTTGAGCTAGAAAGGTTGAAAAGCACTTATTTAAGCACAAGTTGGGAATTCTAAATGTATCAAATGCATTTTGCTCATGCCTGAAATAACTAACAAACTCTTAAATGCAGATTAATTCTGTTCAAACGGCAATTAATTGTTTCATAAGGAAACTTAATCAAATAATTGTTGACTTTAATGGCTCTTCAGATCAACTTAGAAAGTAAAAGTGAGCATAATAATATGTCATTTCTAAGCATATTATAACAACAATTTAAGATATTTATGACAGCAAAACCTATCAGGTGTGGTAGCTGGATGTCACATGTCTTTTGTTCTTCTGTGGGCATATATTCCAAATCATATACAAGGAAGATACCTTGAACAAGCAACTCTGAAAGCAGCGTGATAAAGACATCCACATTGATTCCCAGTTTAACTTTTAACAAAAGCCTGATTTCAGATAGACACTTGATTTTGTTCCTGCTTCGGGTAGTCTTTCAGATCAAATTGCTTTAAATAAACACAGTAAAAAAACAAAGTGCAAGGTACAGTATTGTTTAACCATATAGCAAGCACTTGGGAAAGCAAAGATGTAATAAAACAGCTCTATTTCAGACGTTGTTGACAAGAAATACAAAGTAGTTAGTATCTAAGAAAACTAAAATCTATATCCTGTCAGGAACGGTACTTAACTGACTTCAAACCTTGTCTCACAATATGAATCCGCTGCAAACAAAAACTACGTTGTTCTGTTACCTCCCCTTCTAAGTTTTTAGCCCTTTAGACTACTTCTCAATAAATGGATGAAGAAAAGAAGGACATGTCAGTGACGTGAAGACAATCTATCCATTTCGTACTTTTCTTAAAAGCTGTGCTAGGAGTACAGAAGTATCACAGGTTATTCAAGACTTACAGCAGTTTCCTTTATTTCTATGTTTATAAAGCTTAGTCTAAGAATCCAAGGCATACCTGTTTTAAATACAATAATGTGTGTCTGCAGCTTTTGCTTCTGTTTTATACAGTCATACTGCTCCTCAAGTATGCTTACATCCATCTTGGTTGGCTGTCCGTCACAGTCTGAAGCCTGTTGCACTGAGGTGTGAGTCACTGTGAAAATACTGCTCATGTATTTGTAAGCCTTCACCATCCGTTCCCACAAGGAAGACAGAGTCAAGCAGAAGCAAGGCATCCCTTTCATTATGTTTGCAAAGAAGAAAATCAAGTTTGCAACATCTGAAATAACCCTGATTAAAGCAGTATCTTTTTCATAAAGCACCCCTCTTCCCTGCCTGGTATACTCAGTGTTGTAGATTGCCACTGACTTGTTTTCAATGACATTCAGTGTGTCCTGAACTTGTGAATACACTTTTAATAACAATAACTGTGCAGTTAGATTTAGTGTTGACTTAAGGTTGAGCATACGAACCTTTGCCAAAAAACACACTGAAATACAAAACCTCATTGAACACAGCCAAGCGCACAAAGGGCTGGATAATACTGGTTTATGCAGCGATGTTAATTTTTAAAGGCATATTGTCATATTGATCTACCATGACCATGAATCTGTTTGGGAGATTACACCTTTGAGATTCTTCTCATGTATTTACCACTTCATCCCTCTCCCAGTCTCGCTGGCAGCGCTGCTTAAAGAACTTTTAAAAAGCAGAAAAGATTAAAAGTAGAAAAGAAATAAAGAAATAAGAAATGAAGAAAGAAAAAGTACAAAAGACGTGAACAAATCTGTACACCTCAATCTCCTCTGAGAATTTGTGGAGTGATGTACCCATGATAGTCCAGAAATTGTGCTCCCGGGTTTGCATTATTGCAAAGAATCAGTGTAGATAAGGTATAGATAGAACTGGGAGTAAAACAGTGGGGATTCTGGGATCTAGTCCTGACTCCTCCTTGTTTGATCTCTTCTGCCTTTCAGTTCTCCACCTGTAAAATGGAGGAAATTATACAGTGGATTCCTCTTATTGGAATAGCTTTGGGATGTGGTGATTTGATTTTATTAACCGGCTGATTCCATTAAAAGGGGACCTGTTTTTTTAAGAACACAGATACTCACTCCTCCCCCACGGCCCTGCTTATGCCTCTCATTCCCCACCACCCTATCCCCCTCACCCCCCAGCCCTGCTGGAGGGGGCCCTCAGCTGCCAGGGCTACGGGGCCAGGGACCCAGGTCTGCAGGTGCCTTCCCCCAGCAGGAGCTCAGCTCTCCACCTGCTGCTGCCCACTGTGGGCTCTGGTGTGGGGGGTGAAGCCAGCTCCCCAGCACAGTGCACACTCCTGGAGGAGAGGGGGGGGCCTGCACTCCTCAGATCTGTGCATGGGGTAGGGGTGGGGGTGGTGTGGGCAATGAGTGCAGCGGCTCAGGATTGTGCCCCTCAAAGCTACCATGCAAAAAGTGGGTGCATTGCCAGGGAGCCTGGCATCCACCCTCTGCCCCCTGAGACAAGCTGCCTGCAGCCCCATCCCATCCCCACTGGGGCCCCAGCCCTGCCCAACTCCCTCCCTACGGGGGCTCAATTCCCGCCCCCCAATTACCTGTGGGAGCTGCTCTCCAGCTGCCCGGGGCCATGTGCATATACATGAACATGGCACCCCGTGCCTGACCGCCCTCCCGCTCCCTCCCAGCCCCTGCAGGCTGGAAATGTGCCCGCCTGCGGAGGGCTCCTCACAAAACTGCAAAATCCCCAGGCTTCTCCGGTAAAACGATTCCAAAACCCGAAAACTGTGATTCTAATATGAGCGATTTTTACATGTAATAATATACACATGGTTTTGGTTTTCCCATATTTATTCAAATAAGCAGCTGATTCTATTAACCAGCAATTCTATAAAGCGGAATCCACTGTACTTGCTTTCTTTTCAACAGACCTTGAGATCTGTGGATGAAAAGCATTAGCAATGTGATACAGGGCTGTTATGGGGAGTCTGTTGTGCTAAATTACATCTCCTTTGTATTTTTGTATTTTTAGAGGCAATAATAATTTCTTAGTCCCCTCTGTTCAGTCTTACAAAAAGAAAAAAGTGGATTTCTGAAGGACAAAGTCCGAGTGTGAGACATACCAACGTGCAATGATTGGAAAGTTTAACTGAGACCGTAGGCCACATGATCTTGTTGTCCCTAGGGGCTGGGTGGTGGTGCATGAGAAGACTGCAGCTAGGCAGTGATGTCCAATACAGATGTGCAATTACCTATCATCGAGGCCTCTGTACTAAGTATTTCACTGCAGGACACTGGGCATCAACTCCATGGCTAACAACAAGGGACGGAGTATGGGAATGGTGAGTGTACATTACTTGCTCCCCAGACAAGCGGCAGAAGTTAAGCTACGATTTATGTCATAAGTAAATGCTGACTGAATCAGAAGCAACCCCTGCTCCTGCAGATCCCGTTGGTGGAGACATGCGAACAGACTGCTGAATTGGAATTCAGCATGGGAAAGGATACTGGGACGTAGCTAGCACTGGGAGGTGTCTGGTGACAGGCTAAGACTGTTTGTGATTAGAGATCTGCTGCTTCATCCATCCAGTACTTGTGGCTTCTCAGAGTACGTGTCTTACGGATCAAGCTTCTTAACTCATTGCCAACACTGGCTATGCTGCATTACCTAGAGGAAGAAAAGGAAAAATAGCAGCTCATCCAGAACAGTAGATCCTTTCTGTAGGTAAATTCCCCTCTAGTGTCACTGGAGAAAAGCATATGACTCATCAGAGCTGCTGTATGGACCACACCTTTGGTACATCTAGTTTGATATCCTGCATTCAGTACCTCATTCAGTACCTCATTCTGTAATGGGACTTGGCCAGCTTTACAGTGCTATTCTCAATTGTGTGTGTTTTGTTGGGGAGGGAGTCCTTCTCCACACCCTTAGGCAATCAGCTTATACACTGAATCATGAGAGTTAATTAACCTTATTGTAGTTTTACCTGGCATTTGAAACAAATATTACTAACACTCATAAAACTTATTCAGCCCTTTTTTAAAATTCCAGCCACAATATTTGACTCATTGGCCCCCTGCATGAATGTGAGTTACACAATTGTATGTTGCTTAAATGAGCTTGACAGCATCCTGCAAACCTGAAATATAGGCTCTACATTAGCAGATCTGTATGTGTCTATTAACTAACAAGGACACTTGAAGTATATTAATGGATGTACCGGATAACAGTGTTATGAATTTGTATTATCTGTATTTTGTGAGTGCTAAATCTCAATCGGTTTCTAGTACACTTGATGCTTCAGAAATGCAGAATAAGAAGCCTGCCTCAATAGCGTCTCAGCCCAAACAAGAAAACACAGTAACAGGGGAGGGAAACCTGGACTATGGGGGAAAGTAACTTGTTCAGGGTCATGGAGCAAGTTAATGCCAGATCTGAGGAATGGGACTCAACTCTACTGACTCAGTGCAGTGACCCATGCATCTGCCTCTCCAGAGTAAGTTTCTGATTAGGGACAAAATCTTGATTAAGAATTCAGAGGGAGGAAAACAGACTCAATTTGCAAGCTCTGATTTGTAACTGGAACGCGATTCAGAAAAAAAACTTCCAAGTGTCACCTACGCAAGCTTGTGTAGTAAGAAGGGTTCATTGAGTTTTCAATAGCCAGCAGACTAACACTATGAATTCTGATTATGCTACTGGTGCAAACTTTGAAATGGATCATCTGAAGCTTCTGGTCTCGCCAAAATTTAGTATGAGCAAAATACAAGGGAAGGACTTGTTTTATTTCCATGCCTTGCTTGTATATTAATGGCAACTTTTCCATTCTGTTATCTCATTAGCAGACACTGTAGGCAGGGACCTACCAAGCTGGCAATTTCACAATTTTCATGGAAACTACAAATTTGGTAGGTCCCTGCGAAAAAGCATGGGGGCCACATAAAAGTGGGAAAATGGCTAGCAAGCATGCAAAAAAAAAAAGGGGAGCTGCAAACAGAGATGGGAAGTCCTGGTGTCCTGAAGCATGGGAATGATCTAACTAATTTTATTTAAAATACATTCATTTGCTATCTACAATCTCATCCATTAGGCACATTTTGCAGAGACTCATTTATTATCGTATTTATTAATATTTACGCAAAAACCCCAAGGAAAAAAGCGGTGCAAAGCACACTGAAGTGGCATGCATTGGGACAAACATGGCGTCTCCCCCATATTTGCGTGCTCCAGAGCCTCTGTACTGAGGCACCCTGCAACACAGCTTGGCTGGCTGGAGTGCAGTGTGCCTGGGCTGGCTGCTCCCCTATCTCTGCATGCCTCGGCACAGGGGCTCCACTGCAGAGCCCCCGCGCTGAGACACACTACACCCCAACCAGCTAGGGAGCAGCTGGCTGTGGTGCAGGGTGCCTCAGTGCGGGGGCTCTGCAGTGTGCAGAAATGGGGGAGCATCTCCACACGTTGCTCCCCGGCTGGCTGGGGCACAGAGTGTCTCAGTGTGGGAGCTGCCTCCTGGCTAGCCCAGCACTGAAGCATCCTGTTCCCCAGCCAGCACCCCCTGCACAACATGGAGCAGTGGGACAATGTGTTCTGCTGCAAAGCGCATGGGCAGGGTCATGCTCTGCAGCACAAAATAGCGTCACAAATTTCTGCTGCTACTATTTGTGTTGCTGCAAACGCTCACCCCTGCTCATGTGGATGTGGCCAAAGAATGTTGGTTTTATAGTTTATTCAGGTTTGTGTGGTAGATGCATACTTCACATAGTCTATTTGGGGTACGCATATTGCTTAATTAACCCTGGGCGCATCTACATGTTCATTAATGCACTTTTCCTATTACGAATTAAATCTAGTACCTCCATTGTGAGGTACTAGAAAAAGGTAAATTAGCTTATTTTAATGGGCTTTAGTTGAAGTGCATGGTTTTTTTTGTGTGCTGCTTTAATGCTCATTACAATAGGTTAATGTGCATTAAAGCGCATGTGTAGATGTGCCCACTGCGAATAAAAATCAAGGGTGTTCTCATGACTCTTTTCTCTGCTTCTCAGTGATTTTTGTTTGTATGCAGTCTTGAAAGGTTAAAGCTTACTATTACATCAAATGGTAAACATGTTAGAGCACTTGAAAGAAAAGTGGAAATAGGATCCCTGCTCTAGTTTGATTAATTATATAGCTTTTGGGTTCCAGAAGTCGATAGTAATTGTTTACTTTCTTTTTAATGAGATTTTTGGTAAGAGGGTAGAGGTTTCCTTGGTTATAAATACAGCTTTAAGTTATGTCATGACCCAAAAGGCTGACTGTGTGTGTGCTTCGGCACCAGAATTATCCCCGCCAAGTTGCAGAGCATTGCACGGGAGAGTTTTCTGTAGCAAGAGGAAACCCCGGTGCAGGGACGAGTTTCCCGCCTTTTCTGCAGCTTCTTTTGCAGAGTGCATTGCTCGAGTTGCAAGAGGAATGCACGGTGCAAAAGAGTTCCCGCCACTGGTATGCAAATTTGTTCCTCGTGATTGGCTAGTGCTAAATTATTCACACGTGGCGGCTAATGATTGGCCTGTTAGCCATATAAAAGGCTTGAGCAGTTTCCGCCCAAGCCGAAGAGGACTCCACATCCATCTCGTGGGGACTCTGGGTACACGGCAGGGTAATAGAAACCCTGTGTGAGATCCAGAGGAGCGTGGCGGCCTGATCCACCGCCCACCTCTTCCCGTCTTCGAACGCGACTTTTATAAGCCGTATTTACGATTTTTATTTTGGTGGCTCGTTCACCCAGAGCATCCGGAGCTCTGCACCGTGGAGCCTAGCAACCTCCACGAGACCGTCTGTGTTGGCTGTCTGTAACTGCAACTCAAGCAAGCTTTCCAGCCTGCACCACTGCCATCTCGGTGTAAGTAAATAATCTTTAAAACTACCGATACACGTCTGTGCCTAATTCCAGCTCGACGGCCTTCCCTCTCCAACCTGGCGTGCCCGGGCTGCTGGCCACAGCCCGCGTGCAGCGCGGAAGAGGGCTCAGGTCGCTCCCGGCCAGCACAAGTTATTCCATTTATTAATGATTTAGCATGGTCTGGGGCTTAGCATACAAGACTGGCTGTCAGAACCAGAGGCTCTTCTTCAGGTAGTATCTGCACATCCATGGTTGTGGAATCAAGGCCGGGGTTGTAGTGCAAATATCCACAATCTTCTGGTGAGAAGCATTGACTGAGGCTGCTAACCCTTCCCTTCGCCTTTCTACAGAAGAGATTAAGAAGAAAGGGGGAGTGCCCTCAACCATTCTTCAGATCCTTCTAGCTGTGAAGAATCTGAAGTTGGCTCAGATTTCACCTGGCACTTTCTATTGCCTTCATTTAAAAAAAATCTTTTATGCCCCTTGGGAACTCAATTTATGTGTAACCGCTTAGATTGTTTGTAAATCTGTCTTTCCCAAAGAAAGAAAAGAAAAAGAGGAAACCTGTATGGCATAGACGTTGTCTGGATCCACAAATGTGGGAAAGCTGGTTCACACCTGGCTCTTCAGGTTTGGTCCGTTAAGGCTGGTGCAGTGCAAGGCCAGTGCTGACCTCAAATGCTGACATGCAGGAGCAGAAGGGTGACCTTGTATCTGCTTGTCAGAGAAATTTTGCAATCCTGGCACTGTACAAGTCCAGTTTTGGATTATGGAGATGCCCTCACTCATGTCATAAGCAC